TTCCCAAAACTTAATTGAGCTGGATGCCAATAGCTTATACGTGTAATCCTAGCTATTCTGAAGGTTGTGGTTGAAAGCCAGCTCAGGCAGGAAAGTCCATGAGATTCTTATCTCCAATTAGTCACCTAAAAGCTGGAAATGGAGCTGTGGCTCAAGTAGTACAGTGCTACCTTTGAGCAGAAATCCTCAGTGACAATGCTTGGGCCCTGAGTTCAAATCCCAGAACCAGCACAAAAGAAGAAAGTTTCAAACAAATAAACCAACACCACCCCACCTTACTTGAAGGAAGACTTTCCTACCACTGTAACATATGCATATTCTCAAATGTACTCTCTACCATTTGCCTTGGTGGCTACATTTCTATGTGAAATGCAATATATTCTTTTGGAATAAAAGATGGTAACTAAAAAAATTTTTTTAAGATGATAATTCCACAAATCTCCTTTCTCAATTCCATAGGATTATTATCTGTCATTGGCCATTAACAAATAAGCTGTAAATAATAAGTTTACCTGATCCAGAACTAGATTTTGTGGCTAGTATGTTATCAGTTATAACCACTAAGCTCTACTGTCACAGGGGAAAGCAGCACTCACCAGTATTCATATAAATGTGTGTGGCTGTTTCAACAAAACTAAGTTTATAAAAACTTAGAGTGAGGGCTGGGGAAGGTGGCTCAGTGGTAGAATGCTTGCCTTGCATGCATGAGGCCCTGGGTTCGATTCATCAGTACCACATAAGCAGAAAAAAACAGAAGTGGTGCTGTGGCTCAAGTGGTAGAGTACTAGCTTTGACCTGAAGAGACCTGAGGGACAGCGACCTGGCCCTACCACCGACAAAACAAAAACTAAAACTAAAACAAATTATGGTGAGCTAGACTTTACCCATGTGTTGTCATTTGCCTACTTCTCACCTAGAGAACTGATAGACAGTGATATTAATTTCTGTCTCAAGATTTACCTTATTGCTCAATTGTTCATCATTGTTGGGATATATTTTGAAGTATTTATTATTTGGTACTAACCAATAATCTCAGTGATTTCCTGGCCCTGTGAGATTCATACATAATTGTAGCTAGATCAAGTAACACTGTCTTCAGTGGAGAAGAGACCATGTATAGATAGTTTCTTCCAATAATTTGGGGGGTGTGGGGAGTAATTTGACTTAGAGCATAACTTCAGGTTGCCCCTGAAGGAGATTGCACTAGTATTCCTCGTAGTAAATCCAGTAGGATTTTAAAATGTATACCTTAGACTTTGCATTTTTGTGGCAGTTTCATACTCACCATAACATGAGTCCAAAGCCTTGAAAGTCAGATGATCTAGACCAAGACTAATTTTATTTATGTTATGGACCCCAGGCTACTATGTCTGGATGCCTCTGGCCTCTAGCTTAGGCTCAGTGGTAGTTCTGTCCTCAACAGTTTTACTTCTCTGTTTGTTTGCTGTTGTTGTTGTGACCTCCTTGATGAGACTCAAATCTGCTTCTTTCTTTTTCTTGTATTGCTTGCTACCAATTGTAAACCCTCAAAATTTGTATTTCTGTCACTCTCTATCCAGTTTCTCTTCCTATAACGCTAAATGCCACTCTTTTATACAACTTAATGGCCCATAAATGTTTTTGTTCCACTATAGTCAGTTTTATAGAGAACATTCATGTTATTTCACTTATAAAAACTATTTTATACACATTTATACATTTTTCCAAGTATGTAAGTACTTCATCTTCGGAATTCTCCATTCAATTCATGGCCAAAAGAATTTAAAGCACTTTTGAACATAAGTGTAACAGTATTTGCTGATAAAAGTATTTTGAGTGCTTATATGCTAGGTTATATAACAGTATGAAAGGCAAAATTTCAAAAAAACAGAGTAAACAGAAAACAAAATTTGTAAGCAAAACCAAGCCAACAAATTTAAGACTAAATTATATTGCATACATTTTATTTAAATTACAATTCATTTGAATTTAAACCTTTTGTTCTGAGTTTTTCAACAACCAAAGTAAACAATTTTATAGGTTTTATAATTCCCTTAATCTAGTAAATTAAAAAAAAAAACACCAAGTAAATAAATTACACTTCTCTGATCTGCACTTAGAAGTTTCCCCGTAAATGTTATTATTAGTCATTAGTATTTACTTCTCCAGAGAAACAAAATCCATACATTTATATTTTGTCTCTCCTCTTCACTGAGAGATTATTTAGGAAAATTGTTTGATTCCACACATATATACCATGTATCCCCACAACCTCACCCACTCCAGCCCTGTTTCTTACCCGACTCCATCCAAGAAAGCTTCTTTAATTTCAAGACTATGTTAATGTTGCTTTGGACTGATTCTAATGGGGCAATGATGTTTTTAAAATGTTATTTAAAACAAACAAATAATCATTCCATATGACCATGGAGAATGCAAAGTCCCACATCTGCTGTATGCATTCTGGAAATCTAAAAAGCTAGTTGTATCTGAGACATTAATTTGGAAATGAGCTTTACAACTTTGGGAGGGGGAAGAGTGGGGTTGGGGGAGAGAAGGGATAGTAGGAGAAAAACAAAGGAGAAGGTAACAATGTTCAACAAGAAATGTACCCATTACCTTACTCGTGTAACTATAACCCCTCTGTACAGCATCTTTTCAACAAAGTAAAATTTAAAAAAAAAAAAAAACAACGAACAAGGGCTGGGAAGGTGGCTCAGTAGTAGACCGCTTGCCTTGCATGCTTGAGGCCCTGGGTTCGATTCCTCAGCACCACATAAGCAAAAAGAAAAAAGCCGGAAGTGGCACTATGGCTCAAGTGGTAGAGCGCTAGCCTTGAGCTGAAGAGCTGAGGGACAGCACCCAGGCCCAGAGTTCAGGCCCACGACCAGACCCCCCAAAAAAACAAAAACAAAAACAAAGAACCAGAGTAGCCAATAGTGTAAGTCCTAGTTCATGAACAAAGGTCTGATTATCAGGAGTGCTAGTATCTAAGGACAAGAGAAGATGTCTTAAAGCTAACACAGCGAATTCACTCTTCGTCCTTTCCGTTCTGTCCCAACCCTGGATGAATTGGATGATGCCCATCCATACTGGTGACCATGATCTTCTTTACCCAACCTACAATTCAAATGCTAATCTCTTCCAGAAGCGCTGATACATACATAGTACATAAAGGATTGGTTATAATTGGCACTGTAGCACAAAGTGGTAGAGTGCTAGCTTTGAGAGAATGAGCTCAAGGACAGCATCCAGGCCCTGAGTTCAAACCCAATGACTGACAAAGATACAAAAAGAATTGGCAATGTGCCTCATTTTCAGTAAGATGGCAGAGTGTAACCTAGAACATGATGAAAATGGAAGAATGTGTCATCTGAACAAAGTAGTGGAAAGAAATCACAAATAACAAATCACAAATAAAAAAGTCAAGGTGCATCTAGAACAAACTTCTTTTAGTATCTGTGATAATTCTCCATTTTGTAAACATAAATAAAATGCTTCCATTTTATCCTATTATTGTTTAATGTCTAAGAATTGTTTGGGATATATTTTGTAGTATTTATTATTTGGTGTTAACCAATAATCTCAGTGATTTACTGGCCCTGTGACATTCATACATAATTGTAGCTAGATCAAGTAACCCATACATTTGTTGGTTGAAGCAGTCAGAAGATTACTGATTCAAAGGGAGAAGACACAGGTCTTACCATTTGTTAGACCCACATTGAAGAGAAGAATGTGCAACTAGAACTTAATGGTTGTAGCCACTTTTGGAAGATAAAATTTGAACAATAAGTGATTCTGTAGAGACTCAAATCACATAATATGAGATTAGAAATATGATTGCCACTGGTATTTCCTTGCATTTGAACTATTGTTACTGCCCTGAATTCACCAAGTTACACACAGTTGTTTTAGTGTTAGGTTTTCCTTCCTTTTTCCTTGTGTTGCATTTTCTTAGACTGGGCTCATGGTTCACGGATAAAACTTTAATCTTTCTTCCCAATTTAAAACTCAGCTTGTCAGGTGCCCATCATTTCCTTGTAAATGGTTCATTTAAAAGGCCCTTGAAACATGAATGCATCTGGCAAAGGCAGATCTAAATATCACCCCGGGAAGGATCCAGTGACATTCCAATGGACTCCTACCAGCAAAGGAACACGTTTTCCTCTTACGTGTTATGCTTTGTCACGAAGGCTAGAAATGATGGCTTTTCCCACTCAATATTTGAAGTATTCAAAGGGTGAACCCTCTAGAGTGAGGCAGACCTGCGCAGAGAGGCAGTTGCCTCATATAATTGTGTAAAACTTTCTTTTAAATATTAATTTTAATATTTTAATTTATTAATTTTCTCATATATAGACTGATGACAGAGATTTCTAGGTATAATAGAAAAACTAAACAATCAAAGGAACTTTTAGTGAACTCAACTGTGGCTAATAACAAAATTACACTGCTATTTCTGTGCTCACTAATTCCCTTTCAGCATAATGATTTGGTCAGGCTCCTGCACTGGATGCGATGGTTTCATGGTATAGAAGAAAGAACAAAAGTTCAGTTGTCCAGTGATCATTGAAGAAGATCACTGAAGTGCTACCACTGTGGTAACACCAAAATGCTCATCTGAGAACAACGATGAAACAAGGATGCTAACTTCAGGAGCCTGGGATTGATGGAGGGCATACTTTTGGAGGGGTGTTTATCTTTACTTGGCTCTCTATGATGGTAATTGGATTGTTACAAGGAACATTTTTTTAAAGTGTCTAAGTAAGATTTCTTCTTGCCTGACCAGCATAGTTCATTGTAATATGGCATACAAATTTGGTAAAATGTGTTGAGATGTTGTCAATGTAGCAAAGTGTAGAATAAAAAGTTCCTTTTTTCTTACGATCTGTCTACTTAAAAGTAATACCTTCCTTTAATCTCCAATTATTATTGTAAGGGTGGAAGCATTTACTGTATTATTTTAAACTGTGAGAAAGCTTTAATTGACCTGGATTTACTGTCTTTGTATATGGCAGGTGGTGAAGTTTACTAAATCCTTTGAATTGCTGTCCCCAAAGTGCAGTGCTGATGCTGAGAACAGGTAGGGGGCCTGGGGTCTGTGTTTGTCCTTTGATGCTCTTTGTTCTTGGTGTAAGTGGAGTTGTGCTGTTCTTTGAAGATGGAAGTTATTCCTTCTCTAAATTGGCTGGCAAATGTTGCCAAATATCACTTAAACTCTATTTTAGAGCTTAAATAAAAATCTATAGCCTCATAATGAATGTATATACATCGAGCTTGCAATCTGTTTTTAAGACTAAATTTTCATATTTAAATCTAATTAAAATATTGCCTTTGAATTTTAGTCTCTCTTTCCTCTGAACCTGGTACTAGGTTGGGATAAATTTTAAGGTATGTTGATATCTAAATTCAAGATCCAAGTTCTTTTTACAAGTTTATATGGAAAATCAATGGAGGGAACCTGTTTCCTCTTAGCCACCAGTAACAATTTCGCCTCATACCAAACATTTGACTGAAACTGTTAATGAATAAAGTTAGGTTTTAGGTACTCTTAATTATGTAGGAGACCTAATTTACTCCATTTTTCTGACCCTTTCTTTTATTCCTTTTTGTTTGCCTATATTTGGCCAATGATAACACCTTGCTAAAAAAACAATAAGTCTCCAATAATGAGATGTTTCTTTATTGGCATCTTTACATCTTTAACAATAGACGAAGGGTGGGCAGCATCTTCATTTGTTACTACCCTGAATAACAGCGGAGCTGCTAAGAAAATAGCTCCATTTAGTTTGGACCTCTCTAGAGGAAGTACAGAAAAGTCAGGCACAATGAAGAGATCTAGAAAAAGACAAATCAAGTGCCAGGGACAGTATAAGCATGATGACAATGATGTCTAATAGTGTAAGTGTTTCTGTTCATTAAGTACCAGATGGTATAGTATTTTACATGCACTTTCTAAGAGGTTTTAATATTCATGAAGATGAGCTTATGTTCACATCTTTTATATTGTCCATTTTCTGAGACAAGGAGGCATAGAACTTATGGTTCTCTTGCTTTAGCCTCAGCTGGGCTTACAGGCATGTGCCACCACACCCTGCTCCAAGACAAAAGTATTTTGGGCAGTATTGAACTTGAATTCAGTGGGTCACACTTCTACTACTTGACTCATGACCTCATCCCTTCTGCTTTAAATGGGATTTCCTGCTTTTGCCAGTGGTTGGTCTGGGACCATTATCTTTCTACCTTCGCCTCCCATGAAGCTGGGATGGAAGGCATGTGCCACCACATTCAACTTCTAAAAGAGATTTTTGAAGTAGATGTTCTGTCCCTTTAGGTCGTAGGAGAAAATCAAAGCTCAACAAGTTTTAGAAACTTGTTTGAGGCCTTGTAGCCAGTAATGGTATCCCCATATCCAAGGGCAACATTACCTCTCCCAACCTCTGCACTTTGATCCCATTGTGACATATAACTAAAATCGGACAATCAATCCCATAAAGTGAACATCTCTTGAGATAGTGTTTCCCACATGTAGTGGATTAGTCTCAATCTGGTTTGGAGAATTTGGTGAAACTGGATCTCAGAGAGATTCTGATTGAAAGCATTAAAATGAAGTACTAAAGAATAAATATATTCAAATGGATCTCTGGGAAATATCTGTTTCACAAGGTAATATTAATTTGGATTTTATACCTATTATTGGCTTTAATTTAAGAAACTAATAAATTAAAACAGATACTAGGTACTTTACTATTATTGAATATATGAAAGTTAAAAGAGGTCAGGGCTGCATATTGTATAATTCATTCATATGGAACTCTGTTTCTTTTTTAAAATTATCTTTAAATAGTTGTACAAAGGAGTTGCCATTCGACAAAGCAGTTTATGAATACAGTACATCTTGATCAATATCCCCCTTTCATCATTCTCCTCCATCCTCCCACCATACCTCTAACCTCAATTTTCTTATTTTTGTAGGATATATACTGAATTTTATAACTGTATTCCCCCCCCTTCCTGTCTTCATTCATCTGTCTTTCTTTCTATCATTTCATACTGAGGATTTGAACTCAAATGTCTTTCACTTGCTAGGCAGAGTCTACAACTTGAGCCACACTTCCTACCCAAACAAACATTACAACAAGAAAACACATCAGTAGCTTCCAGAGGCTGAAGGTAGTGAAAAAGGGTAACTATAAAGAGAAACTGAGAAATTAAGTTGCAATGTAACTGTCCTGCATCTTGTATTGTTTGTATTGACAAATGCAAATACAATTGTATTTGTAAAGATGTACAAATTGCACACTTAAAAGAGTGAACTTTACTCGCAGTAAAGTTCTCATATTTCAAAAAGGAAAACCGAGGTCTTTTCTAAGAGGTTTTCATATTCATAAAGATGAGCTTATATTCACATCTGGATTCAGTGTCAACAAACCTATACCTAATAAAGATGTTTAGATACAGAGGGTTTCTAGTAAAATGCTCAGAATTTTTCCTATGTAGAATATTGTGAAATAACATCAAATACACTAGAGAAAATCTCTGTTGGTTTGGATTCCTTTAGCTACTCATAACCTCATACAAGTTATATTTCTTTCTTTTTCTTTTCTTTTTTTTTTTTTTTGCCAGTCTTGGGGCTTGAACTCAGGTCCTAGACACTGTTCTTGAGCTTCTTTTGCTCAAGGCTAGCACTCTACCACTTGAGCCACAGCTCCGCTACCAGCTTTTTCTGTTTATGTGGTACTGAAGAATCAAACCCATGCTAGGCAAACACTCTACCACTGAGCCACATTCCCAGCCCACAAATCATATTTCTAAAGGAACTATTAAAACCTTAAGTTTCTGTTATGGGGCTAGGTTTTGGGGAGGGTTGAAGCCTGTCAGCAATCAGTAGCTTTTTCCTCAGGAACTAGCTCCTGAGACACTTACTCACACAGCCCAGCCTGAAGCCATTCTCAGGATTTATGTTTACTGAGATTCCAGTTGTTTTTCTTTTACCCTCAGGCAGCTGGGGCTGCAGCCTGTGCTACAATGGAATGGGACAGCCTCTGGCTCTGTTTACCCAGTGAAGAAAGTCACTCCTTTCTGGGTGGAGTTACCTCTGCCTGGGAATGGCAACTTTCTCTTGGGGTGGAGCTGAGCTCAGCAGGTCAGGTTCCTTTGACCTGTAGAATGGCTCCTATTGTCTTCCTCCAAGGCCTGAGTTGCTAGCTGCTCCGGCCCTGTCTTTGTCAGTATCAAAGATGGAGTTCTTCTCTGGTGGTGGGAAAGGGGCTACCTTCCCACCACTACATCTTGAAAGGAATGAGGATGTCTTGTGTGGCGCTCACTGCCTTTCCCTTGGTTTCGGGGCTGTCCATGGTCTGTAACTGTCTGTGGTAAGCAGGACGAAGATTTCTGCTCCTTGTTGCTGTTGTTTTTAATGTACTTAAAATGTAGTGTGTCATTTTTTTTTCATTTGTATGTTCTTCCCCATGGTATAACCCCGGTTTTCACTGTATTTGATTCTGGTACCCACATCTTGTATATACAATTTTATAATTTGGGGAGGGGAAGGGAAATAACAAAATGCTGAAATAAGTTACAGGTTGACCCATTGTAACAATGAAATGTACAAGACACTATGTTGAAAACAAACTTTAGAGCCTGGGGGGTGAGGAGAAGGAGAAGTTGGGGAGGTAAGGAAGGAAAAAATGGTAGGGGAAAAACAAAGGAGGGGGGTAACAATGTTTGACAAGAAATATACTTACCTTACTCATGTAACTGTAATCCCTTTATACAGTATCTTTACAATAAAAATATATATTAAAAATACAACCTTCAAAATTCCAGTACTTCTATATTATTGTTTTTATGTCACATATATGATTTCATTGTCACTTCTGGCTGGATTATTTTAATGTCAAAAGAACTTCCATGTCAAAATGAAATGACCCAAGGCCCAGACTGCCCGAGGAAAACTTTCTGATAATAAAAAAAGAAAAAGAAAGGTGGGCTTTTCTATAAAGAGCCATTTTAAAAGTGCCTTTGAACTTTGACATTATGAGTCAGTACTGTTTATCATTCTATTTATGGCTTTTAAATTAATGGATGATGTTCATTTATCTCAGAAGACATTTCCTTCATTGTCCAGTAATTTTCTTCTTTGTAGAAGTGCATCCAGTCATTTATTGGAACAACTGGCTCTACCATTTACTTTGCTTAAGGCATGGAAGGAACATGGAAACAGGCCACAAGTCTACAAATCATAGCATGCTCTCAACACCACTGTCTATCTTTCTCTTAACCTTTTATCACTCTACATTTTTGCAGTAGATAATGTTGATTAAATCCTCAGTCCTCTGGACATCATTCCAAGATATAGTAGTATAGCTTTTAAAAAACAAGCTTCCCATTACAATACTTCATAGTACTATTTCAGAGTTCTCCAGTTTGACAATCCTTGTAGACATTTCTTTTAATAAGTTAATTGTTGACTCACCATTCTGCTTAGCATCTTAAGCTGTTAATTCCTTAGTGTTAGCTGGTCTTCTTGTGGTCTATATGCCGTGAACACCTACCAACTCAAGAGGTGGAAATGCTTTGACTCATCCTTCTCTGTTAAATGTGTACTTCCTCTGGAACACTTTGACAACACCTCCAGTGATAAGAGTTTCATTGTTGTAATGGACTTCCACTGATAAGGAATTCTAACTGTTAAAAAAAAAAAGCATTTTGTAGCCACATGATGTAATTCTAGCTACTCAGTAGGCTGAAATCTAAAGGATCTCAGTTTGAAGCCATCTTTCACAGAAATGTCTGTGAGACTTCATCCACAATAACCAGCTCAAGGCTAGATTGGAGGAATGGCTCAAGTAGTAGAGCACCAGTCAAACAAGCTGACTAAATGTGGGGCTCTGAGTTCAAAACCCCAGAGATGCAAAGAAAAAAAAAGTGCATCTTATGGTGAATTATATTCTTATAACCTCTCCCCATGGGTTATAAGTTTATCCATTAGAGATATCCATTTTATTCAACAGCAGTATATTGAATGCCTTCTTGATACTGGGCACTGTGTTAGGTGTTAGGTGGTGGGGTTTTAGCGAT